GAAAGAGAAATTTCTCATGGTATGAGGTCTCCTTCTGTAAGTCTCAAACAGGTTTCCAGTAAGATATAGCATGAATTATTCTGCCTTTCCATCCCTGCAAGACCCACATGCCATCCTCGTCAACAACGAAATCTTTATGGTATTCTGACGTTACCATACTCCTGACTTTCTTCAAGATCTCCTGGTCCAGTGGTAACTGCCTAAACCCAGCTCTCTTGTTTCTAAACTGCCACTGCTTGTATGTCTCAGGCCTTTCAAACCTCCTTGAACCCTCACATGCTATTACATTGATAACATCCCTACCATATACTTCTTTTTCAAAGAGTAGCCTCTGTTGATCTTCTCGGGGCAGAGTCTCCTCGAACATGTCGAACAGTGAAGAGAAATGGAAGAGTGCTTCCCGGAAGCGTGTGTCAAAGAAGGGTGCATTATAGGACCCATTGACTACACCATGGATAAATATATCTGGGTTAATTCTCCTGATCAACTTCAAAACTGTATCTCTTGGACTCTCTGTCACTGTTTCATCAGGTAGGTTCTTCAACCGGTACAAGCAGTTGACAACAATCAACTCATCTCTGTCAATTTTGATATCCTCATACTGAATAGTTTCCCAATTCTTTGCTATGACATTATACTCGAATGGGACATTAAATCTCTTGCAGTAATTTGCCAGGCGTCGCCCTGTCGCTTCAACCCTTTCTGAAGGCCGAAAACCTGGTTGGGGAAACTCAACTCCAGTAATGCGAAGTGTGGGAGGTCCACCATGTCTGTTGGAGAGGCCTTGGATCAAGCAAGGCCATTGGTATCCATAGAGAACGCCAAAATCAATTATGTGAAGCCTTGTTGCTTTCTCTGCTAGTTTTGCAATTGTTCGGTTAGCATAGAAATTTGACATCTTCTGGAAGGGGCATGCTGTAATGTAAGTCTGGTAAGCTCTCAAGAGATCAGCAGCTGACATCTCTGGGTTCAAGGGAACTCCTGCAGCCAAGCGTAGTTCAAGGCCATTGGCTAAGTAATGAGCTAATCTCTGGGTTCCATCACCATAGGGAGAAGAGTGCTGCCTTATCTGCCTGAGTTGCTCATTTGCAGTCCTTATGTCATAGCTCGCAACAGCTTGTGCACATTGAGTTAGCAGTGTCCATAAATCAACTCCTCCTGTATTGTCATCCGGTTTTTTATTGCGTGTTTTTTTGCCTTTGGATCCTCTTGACTTCCTGTTAAGCTGCAACTTTCCGCTCCCCTCTTTGTGCTCAGATTCCTGAGGAGAACATGATTGAGACTCTTGCTTTTCACCTTGACAGAGCAGTACCTTATCAAACAGTTCAGGTAGCTCAGATTCATCATCATAAACAGCTGATTGCTTATTGCTCCTCCCTTCATCAAGATCATCGCCATCTTCCCGCTGACGATTTTTCTTGCTCCTTGATCCACTTGGTGAGCGACTTCCATCTTGGACTGAATTGAAACTCACATCCTTAGCCAGCTCCCTTGGTTCTATAGGAAATGATGAGCTGCTTTCTACATCTATGATTTCACCCTTTCCATTTGAAAGTAAAGGATTTGGAACTAAAAGGGTATATGCAGGAGATTCAGTAGCAGAAATTTGGATATGAGAGGATTGGAAAACATCTTGAACACAATCCCAATCTGAGCCAACCCAGTTGCTAGCAGCAACAGAGCCATTACTGCTGTGGTTACTGCCCTCATCTGGGTTCTCAACATTTTGGTAAACTGAAGTAAGAAGTGAATTGGCTGAAGAGGGATGCTCTTGAACCAGGACATCATGTAAGGATTTTTCAGCAGCTTGGAGGGCCAAACAGTCCTGCAGCATGCAGGGCTTATTCTCCAACTCTTCCTCCATAAGCATCTCACTTATGTACTTGAGAATAGCATTGGAGGATTGACTGTCTGGAGAATCCACCTCTGAGCTGAAGCCCGACAATGAGGAGAAATCACTAGAAGGGTCTGGATTGACTAGAAAGAAACTGGGATCTGTGAAATCATGATCGGCTTCAAACTCAGTAACAATGTTCTGATTCGAATAGGGCGGGACGGATCCTTGATCAAATATGAATTTGTTCATGGAACCGGGAATTTCATCCAGAAAGGTATCCATCAAGGCCACCAATCTAACAGGATTCAAGAAAAGTTAAATCTTACAAGAGGTGCAAATGGAAAAAAAAAACAAGATTCAGGTGAAAACGTTCAATATCAAACCTTGGATATCACTATGAGAACAGGAAATAACCAAAGTGTACAAACAAAATCTTCAGATATGAAAAGCTTAGACTTGCAGGGTGCATATGAGAAATCACAGTAAATGAAGAGAGGAGGGTAGTGTTTATGAAAGTTTATATGTTACAGGATATTATTTTTATTCAAGTAGCCGCCAACTTAGAAAAATTCAGGGCTACAAAACCAGTCAAGTTTGGACTTCAGTGCTCAATATCTTAAACTATTAAAACAAAGAATGGTGATGATTCTGATGAACAGAGAACTTTGACCCTCAGTTTTAACAGACCACACCTTCCAGGAAATGAGAAGGCAATCTTTATCCTGAAAATGGATCAATGTCGTTGGAGGAAATTTTATAAAAAAAGAAAATATAAGGCATCGCATTCTCTTTCCAACATTGAATAATTTTTTAATACATGCATTAATATAAAAAGCAATTAATTATCAGATTACTTGAATCTGCCTCATAAGTCAGCCAACTTAGTGCCAAATCTACCCTCAACTGCTTGTATTATATGGTCATTATCTCCACCTCCTTTAACTTTTGCTTTCATTATTGTATAACGTTTGGATTGTCGTTACCGGAAACAAAGGCTAATTTGCTGTCGCCATTGTTTATTACTAAATGAATCAATAATGTAGTCTCCATCATGATGAGCATAGAGAGATTATAGAAAACAATGAACAAGAGAAGAATCTTGGACTGTTATGATAAAGATATTTTCACCCCTTGGGAACCAAAAGCACCACATCCATCTGTATGTGAAGTGCAAAAGGGAAGGGGACCAAAGATTGTATTATACTCCTTTTTTTTTTTTTGGTCTGTTGGATTCTTGTATAGGACAGTCCTCTCACAGAGTGGGGTGGGACTCACATGTTGGGCTTGCATGCAAGTCCCATTATTTTATGAGAGGGCTGCCATATACGACTGCCCTACCAAATAGTAGAAGACAAGAATCAAACACTTACTGAGTATCTGACATTAGTACAGAGTAAGTACTCTACCACTAGAGCTAAAAGCTCACTAAGTACATGAGACACATTATACAACCTGAAACAACACAAACAAATTAAGTTCTAAACTTTCTGCATTATATTTAAGGAAAGAAAAACCCTTGGAATGGTGCAGTGGGCTGCTGCCTTTAATCTATTCAAATCGTTCAATCATAAAAGGAGAAAAGTATTATTCAAGGGGATCCAATTTGGTCTGACATTTTATGATGATGGGACAGATTCATCCAATTTGACATGTATCTCTGCCTAGACACATTAAATTATTTGATTCCCACCCAACTTTAGTTATATCATTTATCAATAAGATATGGTAGGGTTTTTCAACCAAAACAGTCCTTTGAATTTCCCAGAGAAAGGCTTTGACTTTTGATTGTTTCTCCATGTGGTTTGACTCATGCATTGAGGTTTCTTATGCGGCACACCAAATGATGTCATTTGCTTCTTTATTCATTTTCATATTTATTTGCCTTTCTGTTTCTTTGTTTGCTCAACAAGAGAAGGGAAACAAACAAGAATGACATAGAGAAGGAACAATACAACAGAGCAAGGCAAACCAGACAAGACTATTGAAGTATTGCGCCAGCATACCTAGCACCCACTTGCTAGTATTGACTGAGTCCAGTCCACCTTGTTACTCATGCATTTAACCCACATTCCAACCAAATTCCCAAAAAAAAAAAAAAAAAAAATCTCATTTGAATGGAATTTATAAATATATTCCTTTTCAGTCTCCTTCTATTGAGAAATTCTTTAAATAATTTTATTTGAGGAACACCCTTTAGGGTACCCTTACGAATTTTTTTTCAACGATCCAAACCGTCTATTTTTCAAGTCTTTATTTATAGATCATTCTTGCAAAAAATTAGACAAATTGAAAATCATTAAGGCATCTAATTGAGGCCAACAAAATTAATGAACATAGTGCTTCAAAAAAGTACTCAAATTTCAATAATTTAATTCAATGATCAAATGATATTGGATTCAAGTGATTTTTTGTATAGATGATATTTGAATGAATATCTACAAACTATACGGTTTGGATTAGTGAAATACAATGCGTAATGGACCCTACAAGAGTGTTTCTCAAATAATTTATTTGAGGGATCCCTCAACAAAAGCTACATATATATGCATTGTCTGGCTGCCATGGTTTACCCACTAATTATTGGTGGAAGATGAAATCTTTATAGGTACTTTGGTGTTAGAATATAAAATGATTGATGGTCCATATTCTCAGTCATTGCTATTAGGTAAACTTTATCAAGAATATCTGAATATTAGAGTAAGAGAATTCTGACTTTTGAGTCCTTAAATAGATGAAAGACTGTCGATGAGGCCTAGCAGTTAAATGGCACTGTAAATCTTTGGATATTTTGGCCTTTGGATATCCTAGTAGAACAAGTAAGAGGCAAGAGAGTAAGTTTGTAACTAGAGAAGCATAGAAATTAACTTGTTTATGAAAACATCAAGAGGAAAAGACACACTCATCATCATTAACCTAATGGTTAAGTAATCTGCTGTTTAGATTAACCCTCATTTCGATTATTTCTTTTACTGCGTAAATTTCAATTTCAATTTCAATTTCATCGCTGTGATTTTGATTGATCCGTTTAAGTTATTAAATCCGTTAAGCAATAGAAAAAATATATATCATTAACCTATGTAATTATTGATCTAGAGTTATATTTGCGCATGCAATCTGCGCTGAGGCTCCGGGAGCCAAGTTACTGCACTTAAAGACCATAGTATTGCAGAAGTTTCCAGGCTAAAATATTTTGGCCGCATTTTAATCATCCAAGAGTTTCGTTTGTCAAGAAGCTGAGATGAATAAATGCAAATTTACAATCAACTCATAAACCGTAGCTACATTTTACATATAATACATAGGACACGACACAAAAAATCAAGAACAAAACGAATACAGCTTGTAATAGTTGTATGAGTAAAACTCTCTCCTAGGACAGCCTGACACAGAAGGCCATTGTGAAACTCTTAAGCAGGCTTCCAAAAAGCAAGACCCATGATAATTCTTCCTTTCCATCCCTGCAGCATCCAGTGGCCATCTTCATCGATTCTAAAATCATTGTGATAACCCATCACCTTCAACATAGTTTTCACTTTCTTCAAGAGCTCCTGGTCTAATGGGAGCTGCTTGAAGCCAGCCCTCTGATACCTAACCTGCCACTGCTTGTATGTCTCAGGCCTTTCAACTCTTTCCAGTCCCTCACACGCTATGACATTCATTATGTCTTTACCAAATACCGCCTTTTCAAACATCAGCCGCTGTTCATCTTCTCGAGGAATGGTGGCCTCAAACATATCAAACTGTGCAGAGAAGTGAAAGAGTGCCTCTCTGAATCGTGTGAGAAAGAAGGGTGAATTGTATGCCCCATTGATAACTCCATGAATGTACAGGTCTGGATTAATTCTCTTGATCAACTTTAGGACAGTATCTCTCGGACTGCTGGCCATCACTGTTTCATCAGGTATGTGCTTTAACCGGTGCATACAATTAACCACAATCAGCTCATCCCTGTCAATTTTAAGATCCTCAAACTGGATAGTTTCCCATTTCTGAGCAATGACTTTGTACTGAAATGGGACATTGAATCTCTTAGCATATTTATCCAAGCGGCGCCCCGTCTCTTCAACCCTCTCTGTAGGTCGAAAACCTGGTTGGGGAAGCTCAATTGCTGTCATCCGAATATTAGGAGGTCCACCAGGTCTCTTGGAGAGACGTTGGATAAAGCAGGGCCATTGGAAACCATAAGAAATACCAAAATCAATAATGTGAAGCCTTGTTGCCTTTTCTGCTAGTTTCATAATTGTTCTGTTGGAAAAGAAGTGTAACATCTTCTTGTAAGGGCAGTGAGTAACATACAACTGGTAAGCTTTTAAGATTTCAGCAGCCGGTGTTTGTATACTTAAAAGAGGCGAATACAATGGGGTTCTTGTGCCAGCCAAGCGTGCCTCTAGGCCATCAGCAAAGTAGTGAGCTAATCTCTCGGCTGCATCACCATAAGGGGAAGAGTGCTTCCTTATCTGCTTGAGTAGTTCACTTGCAGTTCGTTGGTCATAGCTTGCAACAGCTTGTGCACATTGAGTTAGCAGGGTGCTAAAATCTACTACTTCTCGTTTGTTATTCTGTTTCTTTGAACGCGCTGTTTTAGACCCTTTTGACTGCTTGTTAGGCTTCAACTTCCCACTTCCCTCATTTTTCAAAGGTTCATCATGAGAACAACACTCAGACTCATGATTCACAGAACAGAGTAGCACCTTATCAAACATTTCTTGTGGCTCAGAGTCATCAGCAGAAGCAGCTGACTGCTTATTGCTTCTCCCTTCTTCTGCATAATCACCATCCTCCCTTTGATGATTTTTCTTTTCCTTCGATCTATTTGTTGAGTTGTAGCCATCATTTTCTCTCTTAGATGCTAAATTCCTGAACGGTGTGTTAGGACCTTGGGACATGAATTGGTACTTCTCCAAGTCAATAATTCCAAAATTTTCATTTGGAAGGAGCTTTCTAGCTTCCCCTACCCCTCCAAAATTCCCATAAAGTGAATCTGAAGCCAAAAGGTTATCAGGTGGAGACTCAACAAGAGAAGATTGGACATGAGAGGTTTCTGAAGAATCAAGAACCCAGTCTGTTTGTTCAGCCCTATAATCATTACTCCTGTGACAACTATGTGTTGAATCATCATCTGAGTTCTCAAAGCTTTGGTGGTCAGAGAGAGGGGGTTGGTTGGGTGAAGGAGGATCCTTCTGGTTAAGGACATCATAAAAAGATTTTTCAGCAGCTTGGAGGGCCAAACAGTCTTGCAACATACAGGGCTTACCCTCCAGGTCTTCTTCCAGAAGAATATCACTTATGTACTTGAGCACAGGCTGACTACAGTCACTAATGTCAAAAGTATCTCCATCTGAACCAGAGCTCAAAGAAGTACTTGAATCACTTGGATGGTCTGAGTTGGTTGGAAGGAAAGGAGGATTGGTTGGTTCATGATTTACTTGGAACCCATTTACAAGATTCTGATTAGAATGGACTGGAATTGAGCCATGGCCAAAGTGGAATTTTTCCTTGGAGACAGACAATCTTTCAAGAAGGGTATCCATAAAAACTACCACTTTAGCAGAAACTGTCAAGAAACTCAACAGTGATATTGAAATTTTGGAAATGAAGTGAAATTAAAGTTTGAATCTTATCCTACAATTCACAAACCAAATAAGAACTGGAGCCAATTGGGTAAGTGAGAAACACCCAGAAAATTGGAGAGAGAGAGAGAGAGAGAGAGAGATTCAGATCTGAAGAATATCAGCAAACATGTTATGAACAGAAACAAGATTGAACAAACAAAAAGTTGAATGAAAGCTGAAACTCCTTAAAGATAAGAATAACTAGCAAGTATAGCACCGTACCTCTGTGTCTGTGATGTTGCAGAGTTACCTCATACTTGAGGAGAAAAAATACTGATCAGACAAAGTGACTGGATATATATAAAATAAATTATATATCTCCTCCTTTTGTTTTTCATTTTTAAACCAGCTACATACATGAACCTGCCTATTGGGAAGGTCTTAACTGTTCTGGTAAAGTCAGCAGCCATCTTCTGGTAAAAATTGCAAACCAAAAATATAGGATGGCCTATCAGTTTTGGACATCAGCATCTTTAGTGTGCGGGAATGAAGAGGACAAAAACGTAATTATGAACTGCACACGGGCTAACCAACAAAATGTCTAAATCCACGCGTGATTAATTTTGTTTTCCTGGCTGTGGTTGGTCCATTCCAATTTTGGGATAAGTGAAGATTCAACCATGTTAATTTTTTAAGCAAACCACAAATTATATGTGACATTATTTATAGTGTAGACTTGTAACTCAAGTGATTAAATTACATTTGAGTATCGCAAAATGTGTACATGTCATGTCAATTAATAAATCAGTCTATTATATGTTGATTGTATATGCATTACTTGTCACATCACGTGGTACTCAAATATGGTCTCCTTAACATTACTTGAGCATTTAACCATGTATTCGAAGTCACCTGAATCTCATTAAGCCATCATTTTTAGGTCTTCTCTTCAAAAGGGAAAAAAGGTGACAAATGAATCTCACCAAGCCATCTTCTTTGAGTCTTCTCTTTGTAACGTTTTATCTTTTATCTTCTTTTTTTCTTTTTCCTCTTAAGATAATCACATGTGACAGGTCCATTAGAGTACAATTACCTAACATGTTACACTTTTTTTTAATTAAAAAAAAAAGAAAAAGAAAAGGGTTGAATCATGAAGTTACAAGCCTAGCAGTGGAAGAAGTGGTTTTAGGTGGCTAAATTTATTCATGGAACTATAATGAACATTGCACCAAGTGCATTCCATTCCTCATATGTTTGAGGTTAAATGAAGTCATTGCTGGAGGCAGGATAGCACATTCATCATCATCATCATCAAATTTAACAATGGAATAACAATCTTAAATTTAGGTTGCATTATTCTTCATTGCTCTCACAAGATTTAGGTTTGTTCCTCATTTGCAGTAGAATTGAAAATTTCTTTTACTGCGTATCATTCTTTTGATTTCAAGTTCATCTGCTTGCATTTTGATTGCTTGGTTCGAAAGATACATATCATAGATCAAGCTCAATTGGCAGATTTTAAAAAATTGAACATTTAAGATTGAAAAAAAAAAGGGTACAGGAAACATTGAAGATCAAAGAGAATACAAATTGTGAAGTGGCTATTTGCTCTTAAAAACATTCTCCTAGGACATGACCCTGCAGTCAAATTGTGAAACTCCTATGCAGGCTTCAAAGCAGAAAGAGCTAAGATAATCCTTCCTTTCCATCCCTGTAGCATCCACTCACCATCATCTTCAATTCCAAAATCCTTATGATACCCCATCATCTTCGACATAGTCTTCACTTTCTTAAAGAGCTCCCGGTCTAATGGGAGCTGCTCGAACCCAGCCCTCACATACCTAGCCTGCCACTGCTTGTATGTCTCAGGCCTTTCAACTCTTTCCAGTCCCTCACACGCTATGACATTCTTTATGTCCCTGCCAAATATTGCTCTTTCGAACAACAACCGATGTTCATCGTCACGAGGGACAGTGGCCTCATACATATCGAAGAGCGCATGGAAGTGGAAGAGCAACTGTTTGAACCGTGTGACAAAGGCAGGTGCATTGTATGTCCCATTGACAACCCCATGCATGAAAAGGTCTGGATTAATTCTCTTAATCAAATTTAAGACAGCGTCTCTTGGATTGTTCATCATTACTGTTTCATCAGGAATTTGCTTTAACCGGTGCATACAGTTAACCACGATCACTTCATTTCTGTCAATTTGAAGTTCCTCCAGTCCGATGGTTTCCCATTTCTTAGCAATGACATTATACTCAAATGGGACACCATACCTCTCAGAATATTTAGCTAAGCGGCGCCCTGTCTCTTCAATTCTTTCGGCTGGTCGAAAACCTGGTTGGGGAAGCTCAATTGCTGTGATACGAAGATTAGGAGGTCCACCAGTTTTCTCTGAGAGACTTTGGATAAGGCAGGGCCATTGTAAACCATAAGAAATACCAAAATCAATAATGTGAAGCCTCGTTGCCTTCTCTGTTTGTTTCATAATTGTTCTGTTGGCAAAGAAGTGTAACATCTTCTTGAAGGGGCATGCAGAAACATACACCTGATACGCTTTTAAGATTTCGGTAGTTGATGTGTGCATAAAGAGAAGAGGTGGATATGATAGGGATCTTGCACCAGCCAAGCGTGCCTCTAGGCCTTCGGCAAAGTAATGAGCTAATCTCTGGGTTGCATAACCATAGGGGGAAGAATGCTGTCTTATCTGCTTGAGAAGTTCACTTGCAGATTGTTGGTCATAGCTTCCCACAGCTTGTGCACATTCAGTTAGCAGTTTGCACAAGTCTACTACTTGCCGGTTGCTGTTCGGTTTCTTTAAACATTTTGTCTTAGATCCTTTTGACTGCTTGTTGTGCTGCAACTTCCTAGTTCCCTCAGCGTTTAAAGATTCATCATGAAAACAGGACTCAGATTCAGGATTCACACCCTGTAATACCTTATCAAACATTTCTTGGAGATCAGAATCGTCAGCAAAAGCAGCTGACTGCTTGTTGCTTCTCCCTTCTTCTGTGTAATGACCTTCCTCCCTTTGATGATTCTTCTTTCCCTTTGATCCATTTGTTGAGTTGTAGGCATAATTCTCTGGTACGGATGCCAAATTCCTGTACAGTGTGTTAGGACCTGGAGGCGTACACTGGTACCCCTCAAGGTCAATGATTTCATTTCCTTCCCCTACACCTCTAAAATTCCCAAGACTTTGCGTATCAGAAAATGAATCTGAAACCAAAGTGGTATCAGAGAGAGACTCAACAGGAGAAGTTTGGACATGAGATGTTTCTGAAAAATCCCAAACGCTGCCTGTCTTAGCAGCAATAGAGCCATTACTGCTCTGAAAACCACCATCTGAGTTCTCAAAGCTTTGATACACAGAGAAAGAGGGTTGGTTAGGTAAAGGAGGATCCTTCTGATTAAGGGCATCATAGAAAGATTTTTCAGCAGCTTGGAGGCCCAAAATGTCCTCCAACATGCAGGGCTTACCCTCCAGGTCTTCTTCTAGAAGAATATCACTTATGTACTTGAGCACAGGAAGATTGCAGTCACTACTCTCAACAGTATCACCCTCTGAAGAAGTGCCTGAATCACTAGGACGATCTAAGTTGGCTGGAAGGAGAAGTTTATTGGTGGGTTCATGATTTACTTGGAGCCCATTTACAAGGTTTTGATCAGAAGCCACTGAATTTGAGCCATGGACAAAATTAAGTTCTTCCATGAGAACAGAAAAAACAACCTAACTAGCAGGATTTGGTCACAATTTTTATTTTTCAAGAAACTCAACTGTAATATGAAATTTTGGTGCTGATGACCAAGAAGCTTTGGGAAAAAAAGAAAGAAAAGAAAAGCAAAGTATGAAACTTATGTCATAATTCACTCACCAAATAAAACTGGAGCCAATGGAACAGCGAGAAACAGCCAGAAAGAGAGTGCAAGATTCAGCAAAAAAACAGAAAACAGCTTATGAACAGGAATAAGATTGATCAGACAATAATGGAATAAACTCTGAAACTCATTCAAGAAGGAAACTAAGAAATATTGCAGAGTACCTGATATATTTCTGGGACATTAAAATTATCAGACAGATGCTTGGTTTGTTTTTTGTGTGAATAAAATCTGGAGAATCATCTTCAAAGCAATGAACCTTTTGAGAAAGTCTTAACTAAAAAGTATGAGAAAGTCAGTCGTCAACTTATAAGAAAAAGGCAGTCCATATAGGAAGGCAATTTTAGAATTCAGTCTTTGGTGTGTGAAATTCAAAAGAGCCAATATTTCTTGGGTTCCAACCATATACAGCTATCTATTTAAATTTTTGGCAGCAGTGAAATCTGAAAATGTTAATTTTTAAGGTAACAAAAGAATAAAAGTTAGCACTCCCAACTGATCATCTCTTTTATAAAAAATAAAAAGTAAAACATCAAATTCAAAAAAGCCGTCTTCTTTTGCACTGTTTTGTTTTGTCCTTTTCTGTTTGTTCAAATGCGTAAATATATTAAAAGGGTCTTGTGGGTGAGAGGTCAACACACAAATCTTTTATTAGAAATGAAGTTGGAATTATGTGCTCCTGCATGCGAGAGGCACTGTATGAACAGTGCAGTCTTCCACAACCTTGTTGACCATCTTCAATCGTTTATTTTTCATTGCTCTCAAAGATTTGAGGTTGTTAAGCATCTTCTAGCTTACCTACATGGCTCTTTTATTTTGGGTTCATAGCTTGAATTTTAATAAACTGTTTCAAGTCTTTTAAGGCATAACAAGATTTAGAAGTTAAATATGTGCATTAGCCAAGAAACCCTACTTAGAACCGCTAATAGCGTAAATGTATGCGGACTACAACAAATCGCATTTGAGCTTCCTCAAATAGTGCTCTGCTCCAGCTTAGATAAAAATATTGCAAATCCCAGATCAAACTCCCATTGGAAGAGATGAATAAATAAAATTAACAATGAACTCATTACAACATGACAAAACGGTAAACACAACTTCGTAAATGGAAGGAAGATTAAAGGAAAAATTCAAGAGCAAAGAGACTAAAGATTTTAATAGTGGTCTAGGCTTTTTTCCAAAAGGAAAGAGCCATAATGGTTCTTCCTTTCCATCCCTGCAGAATCCAATGGCCCTCTTCATCAATCCTAAAATCATTATGATAACCCATAAACTTCAACATTCTCTTCACTTTCTTCAAAATCTCTTGGTCTAGTGGGAGTTGCTTGAACCCAGCCCTCACATTCCTAACCTGCCACTGCTTGTATGTCTCAGGCCTTTCAACTCTTTCCAGTCCCTCGCACGCTACGACATTCAATATGTCCTTACCATAAACAGCTTTTTCGAACATCAGCCGCCGTTCATCTTCACGAGGAACACTGGCCTCAAACACATCAAACAGTGCAGAGAAGTGGAAGAGTGCCTCTCTGAACCGTGTGACAAAGAAGGGTGAATTGTATGTCCCATTCACAACCCCATGAATGAATAGGTCTGGATTAATTT